AAATTAGGGCTTACAGGTGAAACTGGATCTCCTCGTTGTCGTCAGCACCGCCGGTGTTGAAATTGGATCTCCTCGTCGTCGTCGTTGCCACCGCCGGTTGAGAGCGGAAGTGGGGAGGGAGAGATCGCGAGAGCGGGGAGGGGGAGATCGCGAGAGCGGAAGCGGAGAGATGGAATTGTAAATGACAGCTCATCCATTGGAATTTAGAATTATGAGCTTTGTATAGATTTTAAATGTTAATTAATGGATTTGGATCAATATCTAGTATTCAAATTCTTTTGGACCCAAACAATAGAATTAGGCCAAATACAATATTTGAAATGAAATACTGGTTACCAAACCGGCCGTTATTGATATTCATGTTTTCTTTTGTTTCTTGAATTTGGAACTCTGTGAAACCCCAATTAATGAATAATATTGTTAAGATCAATATCAGGGTAAATATCATTAGAACAATTAATGACAATAGAACAAATGTAAAGGAGCAAGAGCATACATAGTGAGTTAGAGAAACTGATTATACTAATATTTTCTTTTAAAAATATTATTATAATATTTTCCCCTCTCTCTCTCTTTCTCTCTCTCGCAAACTGGTGGCAGTAATCCTATTTAAATTGGTCATTATAATTTTTTTCCTTGCAAACTGGTGCCAATAGTTCCATTGGTTATCATAATATTTTCTTATTACAATTCGAACTTTAGGAAAGTAATAAATTGGTTATTATAATAGGTTCTTTTTCTTCTAGCAAACTGGTGGCAGTGGTTCCATTTACATTTAAATCCTTTTTCATCATCGCATTAGATATGTAAGTCAGTGAATATATTGCAGGCAACACACTGCTTATGTACAATTATCAAATGTTTTGCCACACCAATTGTTTTCATATAGTTATTATTATTATTTAGATGCTATCTCTGATATATTGTTTCTTCCTCGCAGATGGTGCTATGATGCCATCTTTGTTGGACATTCTTGAGATCCCTACAACTGCTGTAAGTAATACTCTCACGATCATATCTTTATTCTTTTGGAGTGTCATATATATTAATAATCAAAAGTAAATATATCTTTACATGTACATTTTCTCTACTTCTCTTTGGAAAATCATATGATATATAATTTATTAACCAGTTTGTTGATAATACCTTACTTATCCATTACGATTTGTATATGTTCAAGCAACAAACAAGAACTTTCCAGCTCAGGTGATTCGTGATCATTTGTAGAGGTTTTGTCATCATATTTGTTTTTGCTAGAGCCAATACATGCTAAGGTGAAATATTGCTAGCAGATTGACCTTGAATTATGAAAATAATGATAATAGTAAATTAAAAATTGATGTTATTTCTTATTTGCCTTGAATCCTGGTGAGTCCTTTACTGAAATATTTAGTCAAGAAAGAGAAAATACATATGTAAAGAACCCAATTCTAAAAAAAACCAAAAACTATTGCCAAGAAAGGAAAGAGAGTGGGGGGCTAAATAGTACAAGGGGATTGAGGGAAAAAAGAGTACAAATCACCTCCCATTTTATAAATCTATTTGTATCTTTCTTCGTTATATGATTATATCCATGATAGCTAATATGTAGGATTTTTTATTTTTATGAATAATAGTTCAAGACAGAAAGTGGTGCAAATTTGAGAGCTGGTAAACCAGACATATACTTGAAGGGATCGAGGCATAGAAAAATTTCTCTTGATGGAGCGGCTATGAGGATGTTTCTCTAGAGGGAACTGTCAGTGCAGGTGATGTTATCTTGTTTTCCATGCTTCCGGTCAAGTTCCATTTTGCGCGCGCACACACGTGCACGCGCGAGCGCATGCATGTGTGGCGTGATCTCGTGCTTGAGCGTGTGTGTGACAGTATGTCAAGATAATAAGTTCAGATTTATGTTTTACGATTGCCTTTCTATTGTTTTAGCAACTGTTGTTTTAGCTGTTCTGGCCGTGTTAGGCATAATCTTTGTTTTTTTATGCTATAGTAGTGTCATTATTCTCTCCCTTTCTCTTATTAGAATGTTTATATGTGTTCCAATTCCTATTTTTTTGACAATATTATATTTACTTAATAGTCTAGTGGCATTAATGTGATGGACAAAAGCTTGTGTTTAAAGACAATTTCATACTAAGTTTAGGGATTCTAGGTGTTGTATATGCTGAACGACAGTGTAGATTATAGTTAACCTGATACTCTGTTGATTTTGTTGAGCCTAATCTGACTCAAATGGATATGAAAAATACTTACATTTCTCTTTTAAGATGGTTAGTAGGCGTAGAAATAGAGGTGCTAAACCGTATCCATATCCGAGGAAATATCCGTAACCGTATCCGCTAGGATACGAATATGGTTACTCAAATCTATAACTGATAGGATATGATTATAGATATGGTTTTGTAGTGAAATATTTGTATCCGTATTCAAAATATCCGAATACATATTGGTCATACTCTTATGATAGTTTCGATTCTTAGATTATGGATTTGTGGTTAATTTTGATGATCAAGATGTCTAATCTTAGTTTTTCAGTTATAATGAACATATTAACGAACTTTTTTGTATCAGTTGAACTATATTTTCTCAATACTATCTAGTTCTCTCATATCCATTTTGTATCCGCATGCATATCCGTTTATATATCTGCATCTATATATATTCGTAACCGTATCTGGTTTTGACGGATATGGACATGAATTTTCCTTACCGAGGTATATCTGTATCCATATTCGAGATGAGTAAGCAGATATGGATATGATATGCATCATATCCAAGCTGTATCCGGACCGAATGCACCCCTTCGTAGAAAACACAACTACATGAAATTTACAATTCAGTATAGTCAGCCTAACCTTTGCGGTTTTTCTTTCCTGTAAGTTCTCTTTATGCTCGCAATATTTTTTGGTGGCTTGCAACTTGGTAGAAAAATTTTATGTGGTAGAACTCTAGAATATGATTCTAGATGCTCCAACATTGTAGGCTTAGTGGAGTATGAAGAGCTTGGAGATGATACATAAAACCCGATTAGTAAGGGTGTGTTTGGTAATCAATATGTTTTTTTGTGTTTTTATAAAAAAAATCATGCCATGATGTTTCTTTTTCAAATGTGTTTTAAAAACACTATTTTTGTCAAACTAGTTTGACTATTTATATAGCGGCAGTGGGCAGGCGCGACAGCGGTCAGGTGGCGGTGCCTGACGGCGCGGCAACGACGACTGTCAGCTATGTGGCGGGTAAGCGGCAAGTTGATCGGCGTCAGCCGGGGTGACGACGGGCGGGCGGTGATGGCGTGGTGGAGGGTGGAGGGTGGCCGGCGGCGACGATGGCGGGCGAACGACAGGCGTCGGCGGTGGCCGACGAGGTGGCCGATGGTCGAGCCGACGAGCGGCGCGGCGGCGGGCCGAATGTGGTCGGCGGCGGCGTCGACGGTGGTGGCAGTATGGCGGCGAGTGAAGTGTGGATGGCAGCAGGCTGACGGGCGGGCGACGACAGGGCCGGGGGAACAACGTGGCGGTTGGTGGCGACGGCGGGCGCAACGAAGGGCCGGGAGCAGCGGTGGCCGGCCACGGCGATGAAGGCAGGTGGGCAGAACAAGCAGGCGGCATAGCGGGCTGCGGCGGCTTAGATGAAAAAACGGAATCTTAAAACACATTTTTGGTGTTTTGACAAAAGTGTTTAATTTTTAGATTTTGTAAAGGGACAAGTCAAAAAAACGTCCCAGTTGTCAAACGCGTTTCTTAAAACACATTTTTGGTGTTTTGAGAAAAGTGTTCAAAAAAACGCCACGGTTGTCAAACGCTCCCTAAGAAAGTGGACTTTTTCTACATTCTTCTTCTAATAGTCCACGTGGCAGAAAAGGATGTTATGGCTAAATTTACATGTTTCAGTTACAAACAAATACTCTAGTTCGTCCACTTTCTAATTTCTACACATTAATCAGTGAAATAACTAGATAGACTTGTGAACTTAGCAATCTTGTTTCTGGTTTTTTGATAGAAGGGGGAAAATGCTTTTTTCCCAATAGTTTATGATTTTAATCCAGAGGAAATTGGAATATGTACATGGTGACCTGGAAACTGGAGTTCGAACTTCAACCTTAAAAAAATACACTATTGTTTTTCTTAAATGGTGGTAGTAGTTCCATTTACATTTATTCTTTTTCTATCATTTCATTATATATGTAAAATCAGCGAATATTACATGCAACACGCTGCATTGGTAGTTATCATAGTTTTTTTTGTCATGCCACGTATTTCATATAGTTATATTTTGTTTTTTTAGGTTCTGCCTCTGATTTTTTTTCCTTTCTTCCTTGTAGGTCGTGATGTCGTGCCATCATCTTCTGACATACATGAGGTTCCTATATCTGCTGTAAGTAATACTCCCACAAATGTTCTTTATTATTTTGGTGTATTTTATACATTAATAATCTAAGGTAAATGTCTCCGTATGTAAACTTTCTGTCTACTTCTATTTGGAAAATCACATGATATAAAAGTTACTAATCAGTAGACAATAATACCTTTCTTATTCAATATGATTTGTAAATGCGCAAGCACACAAAATTTTTCCAGCTTAGATGATTTATGATAATTCATAAAGGTCTTCATCATCTTGGTGTTTGCTAGAGCCAATCAATGTTAAGTTAAAAATGGTCTCATTCAAGCAGATTGACCCAAAATTGTGAAAATAATGATAATATTATCACAGCAGCCTTGGCGGATCTATTGCTAAAGTTAATGTTATTAACCTTGAATCTTGACAAGTCTATTGCATAAACATCACAAGTTGTCGAGCCAAAGAAAATACATCTGTAGAAGCCAATCTAAAAGCCCAAAAGCTTTGACAAGAAAGGAAAGAGATTGAGGGAATTACATCCCATTTTACAAATCTACTTGTTTATTTCTTTATATGATTATATCCATGATAGCTAATATGTTGGATTGGATTGTTGATTCTTATAACCAATAGACCAAGACAGAGCGTGATGCAAAACTGAGAGCTGGCAAACCAGGCATATACTTGAAGGGGTCGAGACAGAAAAATTTCTCTGGATGGATCAGCTATTGAGGATGTTCCTGAAGAGGGGATTGTGTGTGCAGGTGATGTTATCTTTTTTCCATGATTTATCACGTTTCATTTTGCGTACACACACACAAATACACACACACACACTCATATATCGGTAGGTCAAGATAATTAGTTTATGTTTATAAGTAACAGTTTTTATACTGTTAAACCTTTCTATTTTCAAATGTTGTTCTAGCCATGTTAGGCTTAATCTTGGTCTCATTATGTTGAGGCAGTGTCATTAGCATTATTCTCTCTTTTCCTCACGTTAGAATGTTATGTACGTTCTAATTCCTATCTTCTTGATGAGAACATATTAAATAGTCTAGTGGCAACGTCCAACAATATGATGAGTAGAAGCTCATCTTTTAAAGACAGTTTTATGCGATATTTTAAATATTCTAGTTATTGTATGCTGATTGGTAGTGTAGCTTACAAATAACTGGATACTTTGTCGATTATGTTGAGCCTAATCTGTCTCAAAATGGATATGGAAATTAAATACATGCCTCTATTTATGTGAATAGTAGGTTTAGAAATAAAAATATTTCTTGGATAAATGAGAATGAGAGCTAATATTTGTATCTTCCTGTAGAGAGATCTATCTGTTTAAGTCACTAGAGTGGAAAAGCACTACAAAAGAAGATAGAGAGACACCTAAAAAAACTTTGACAAGAAAAATAAACTTCTGCATTAAAAGGAAAGAGAAGCTGATGCGAAACGGGGGAGTGGGTCTATTAGAATCAACGATTTAAATCCAATAACGCACCGTGTCGCCAAAATTCATGATCTTTGGCAGGAAATTAAATTTAAAACAACTAATGTGATCGATGGATCGACAATTATGAATAATTCCAATCTCGATCAATTTAACTGCAATATTCATTATCATTGCACAAGTTCAACAATCAATATCAATGTTTAGCAGTCACATGCTCAATTAATCTCAACTCACAAATATAATTTAAGCAGTGAAATATATGATAAGAATTTAGAGATGAACTAATCATGTAATTAACTAATAAAGTAAAATTAGCAAAAAAATACTGAGTGAAATTGATACCAGAGTCAGACTGAGAGTCAGATCCTACGGAGTTGGAATCGGGTCTAATCAAAACAACCAGATCCGAAGACAAATCATATCCGAAGTCCCCTTTTTCTGCGTTGTCTTCGAACTGAGGAGAAGAGAAGACGAAGGCTGCTCGAGGGCGACGAACGGCGGCGCGCCTTCCGCGTGGCTGAGAGACGGTGGGCGATTGTTCGAGTAATGCAGCGCACTGAGGACGCGTGGGCGTCTGGATGAGAACGGAGCGGCGTCGGCGGGTGGAGGGAAGAACAACTGGTTGTCGGGAGTGACCGTGAGGACGGCGATGAGGTGGCTCGGTGGCTGGCTGGCAGAATGAGAAGAGGCAATGGGTTTTTGGGGTGCAGGGTTGTGGAGGAGGCGAGGCGTGTAATGCGGAAGCAAGGGGGTAGTTGGCTAGGGATCGGAGGTTGAAGAAGAGGGCTAGGGGGATGGTTGTTCAAATATGGAGGGAGAGGAGGAGATGGATGCAGGGAGGACGGGAGCTAGGAAAGGCGGTGTGTGGGGCGGTGCTGAATGTCGGCGGATGCAAGGGGAGGTGGGGGTGCTGACGTTTGCTGGAGGTAGTAGATGAGGAGGCTCCGGTGGCGAAGAGATTAGGGCGTGGCTGCAGGGGATAGAGGAGAAGATTGGCGTGGCTAGTTTTTATGAGAGAAGATGAGATCTGAGAGAGTTGGGTCTGTGGGAGAGGAGAATAGTACGGTGACTGAGTTTTACGCGAAGGAGGAAAGAACACAGAAAAAAAATGTTGCCTAGGGTTTCACACCAAGCAATTAGCAACAATTTTCTTCATTCATTCCTTATCCTATAATTCTGATTACATAGCTCTTTTATAGAGCAATTACATATCCCTCAAATTACTCTAATCAATTCCCTAAAATCGCTCAAATGCCAAAATTAAACCACAATTCAAAATTCAAAAATTCAAAATTAACTACTAAAAACTGAAATAGAAAAAGTCAAATGACAAATAGAGAAAGTTGCAATTGTTGTCCTTATTAGAAGCTCTTACAACAGAAGAAAATCTTCCTGAAAGAAAAGAGTTTTCTTTTTTTAACCTTAATTGGTCCTCCTGCTCTAAGCAGCATTGTAAAGCTACAGGCATATAGTAATCTACCTCATCCTCTTTCTGCACACAAGTTTCAGTGAGTACCAATAGATTTATGAACTTCGCAACTAAACTTTTCATTTGTTTGGGAAAGAGAAAAATGTTTGGTTCAGTAATTTATCTACGTATTAGTTTACCTAGAAACTATAGTTTGATCGCTAAGTAAATAGTCTGTTAATAAAATATTTCTTTTTTACAAACTGTTGTTAGTAGTTCCATTCCAATTTAAAGTTTTGTCATTTCATTAGATATGTAAAATCAGTAAACATATTGTAGTGGCACATTATAGTTACCATAATTTTCTGACTCACCAAGTGTTCTGACAGCTTTTAAAAAAAAATTAGATGCTACCTCTGATATATTTATTTCTTCCTTGCAGATGATATTTTGATGCCGTCATGGTTTGACATTCATGATATTCCTATAAGTGTTGTAAGTAACACTCCCACAATTGCATCTTGATTTTTTGGAATGTCATCCAAGTACTAATCAGAAGCAAACATCTCCTTACATATAAACTATGCCTACTTCTCTTTGGAGGATCACACAATATATAAGATTTAAATGAGTAGACTACAGTACCTCACTTATGCTTTAGTAAATGTGCTTGTTTCAAGCAACACGCAAACTTTCTACTCATAGGATTTGTGTATTTTAGGAATCACCAAAAGATGAAATGGGAGTTCTTGAAGCTGTTCAAAATGTGCATGGTTTGATTCACAAGGAGGTAGCTGCTGGCATAAGTCCTGAAAATATATTTGTCTGTGGATTTAGACAAGGAGGTGAGAACCATTTGGCAATTCTTTTGTTGATTTAGATTTTATCAATTTGTTTGATACTAATCTGAGCTGATGATGGTTTTGGCAGGTGCCTTGACCCTAGCAAGTGTATTGCTCTATCCTAAAACCTTGGGGGCAGTGCAGTTTTTAGTGGATGGGTTCCTTTTAATTCTTCGATCATGGATCACATTTCTCCTGAAGCAAGAAAGGTACTTCACGTCTATGAGTATTTATACATGATTTGTATCGTAAAGTGATAAGACTCACAAAATTGAGTCAACAAACATCCTTCCTCTTAATGATCCTGGCATACCTCATAATTAACTAATGCTAGTTGAGTTTCAGTATTACAGCATGTTTTTTTTTCAGAATCATAATCACTGTGACCTGCTATTCAATCAGGATGATTGTACCATCTATCTCACAAGCACATCCACAGTATGCATGCACAAACACATGCAAATACAAGAACAAACACGTGCAAGATTTTACATACATGAAGATAGTGTAATATGGTGAAGTTATGAAACACAATTTCTATGGGAATTGAAGTGAGGCTATCATTATAAAACTAGGTTGATTGCCCAGATATAACCCTCTTTTTTTTTTCTTTTTTTCTTTTTGCTCAGTGAAAGTAGCACTATAGACCACAATTATGGACAGTGAGTCTGTAATTGATTGGATAAGCATATAGTTGAATGCTAACGTACATATGAATGATGGATTAGAATTCACTTTTAGTAAAGTTGAAAGCTATCTGCTGCATGTCAAAGAAAATATAGATAAAATCCCACAGTCTAGTGTAGAACTGGTTGGAGGTATAGAAACCCAGAACCTAGAAGTCACTCCTTTGCTTAATCCCCCCTAACATACTCATACACATAAAAAAGAAAGAAAATGCAGTAAATTATAATCTAACCGTTCACTTGAAATACATTTAATAGAGTAGACATAATTGTTGGTTCATTTCCAGTGCTTTGTTGTTGATCTGCTATGTTTATGTTTAAATTTGTTTTCTTTCACTGAACATGTAACATGGCAATATGATACCTCGCAGACACCGACTTTGTGGTCCCATGGTATGGTTGACAGGACAGTGTTGTTTGAGGCTGCGCAAGCTGGTCCCCAATTTCTAGAGCAGGCTGGCATGAAATGTGAATTTAAGGTAACCCTCTTCATCGAAAAAAAACTCTATAGAGGGTTCTTTATAGAAAATCGCAGGGAGGAAGGAGATTATGGCAATTGTTCCATTATCAATTCTCTGAATCAGTGTAATCGATATACACTTTCAGTGCGACCACCAGCTTTTAAAATTAGTGTGGACACTGTGATCTCCTTCATACATGATTTTCAATCGAGGACCTTCCATAGGAGTTGTTTTTTCCCCCTCTCATCCATTCTTTTCTTACCTAATGCATTTGTTAAGCCACAAAATATTCTACACTACATATGACTTCATTATTTTACATAACTAATTCGTTTCAAACTGTGCTTTCTGCTTTTCGGCTGTTGCAGGCTTATCCTAATCTCACCCATTCCATAAATAATGAAGAACTGCAATCACTGGGATCATGGATTAAGGCTCGTCTGAAGTCTTCTTTTTGATGAAGATCTTCATTCACGATCAGTTCACATCATCTATAGGCTGGCTCCTAATTTTGTAGCTGTTTCAGTGCGTCCTAGCTGTCTCGTGATTATAATCAATTTGCAAATGTAACAAATTTTGACCTTGAAAAACTTGAGGAGTATGTACTCTAATTTATTGAGATAATCGAGAATTTGTTCTGTTTGCTGCCAAATGTAGCTCTGAATTCGATAAACCCTGAAGTTTGTATCAACTGTAAACTATACTCAAACTCTGACGTTATAGATATGCATGCTGTAGCCACTCTGAAATTTTTGTTACAAGGTTCTGCTAAGTGCCAAATTCTCATCAATTTTGGTTCAGCTATAGGATCACAGCAAAAGTAGCCATAATCTTTTGCAATTTTAGTATCCATGATTTATAGTTCGCTTCCGTTGTTTTCATATGGCGCGTAAACTGCTTTTAGATATGCACTCTCAATGATTCCACATAATTCTTGGAGTTAAATTGCGTTGATGCTGGTTTTTGTTGGGGATGCACAACCCCCCTGATACGATTTGGAAATAGAGATTTAGGAGAGGAGAGAAAAACAACCAATCTCAAACACACAAGATTTACGTGGTTCGCTTCTCAATGTGAGAAACTACGTCCACGGCCGCCGCAGGAGAAAAATTCACTATTTTTCGTCTCTTTACATCATGCCCTAATCAACACTTTTATAGACTTAAGGGTTTAACCAATAAAAAAGGAAACAGAACAAAACAGGTTAAAATTCGAAACTGGGCCAAAACCCGACTCCGGTCGACCGCCGCACCACGTGCGGTCGACCGCGACGAATCCTATTCCTGATCGAGCTCTCTGGACTTTGGGCGGTCGACCGCAGCCTCCTTCGTCGTTTTGCTTGAACTTCTCCATCGTCGATCCTGTTCCTCCTGTTCCAACTTTGTTCCTCCTCTCTTCTGAAGTATAGGGCATGCTTGATAGTTAGGCTTCACATATCCTAACAATCTCCCACTTGGAGACTAACTATCAATCTCTTTCAGCTCTCTCTGCGGCGACGGCCTCCATTTCATCAAGTGCTGAGGCCAACTGAAGTTGAACACAACTTCAGTTTCTCTGTAGTGACAACCTTGGTAAGCATATCAGCTAGGTTCTTGCTTCTTTGAATCTTCACAAGTTTCAACATGTCCTCGTCCAACGCTGATCTTATGAAGTGGTAGCGGACCTGTATGTGTTTGGTCCTTACATGAAAAGCGGGATTCTTTGCCAAATGAATTGCACTCTGGCTATCACAATGTAGGACACTCTTCTCATTTTTCTGTCCCAGCTCCTCCAAGAAACCCTGCAACCATATCATCTCCTTGCTTGCCTCTGTCACAGCAACATATTCAGCCTCTGTCGTTGATAAAGCAACGATCTTCTGCAACTGAGAAACCCAACTAATAGCTGTAGAGCCCAAAGTGAATACATATCCTGTAGTGCTCCTTCTCTGGTCTATCTCACCAGCATAGTCTGCATCAACAAAACCCTGCAGGACTAACTTGCCTCTCCTGAAGCATAAACAATCTTCTATAGTACCTCACAGGTATCTCAGAATCCACTTTACTGCTTCCCAGTGCTACTCTCCTGGATCTGACATAAATCTGCTCACATCTCCCACTGCATGGGCAATGTCAGGTCTCGTGCATACCATAGCGTACATAAGGCTTCCGATGGCTGAAGCATAAGGAACCTTAGCCATGTAATCTTTCTCTTCATCAGTCTCGGGGCACTGCTCCTTAGTCAATCTGAAATGACTAGCTAACGGTGTGCTGACGGCCTTAGCACCACTCATCCCGAATCTCTCAAGCACCCGTCGAATATACTCGGCCTGAGATAGTCGTAGTGTGCCTAAGAGTTTGTCTCTACTGATCTTCATTCCCAATATCTGCTTCGCTGCGCCTAGATCCTTCATGTCGAACTCACTCGACAGCTGCCTCTTCAGTTTCTTGATCTCTGACATATCTGAACCGGCTACTAGCATGTCGTCGACATATAGGAGTAGGATGATGTAACTCTTGTCAAACTCTTTGACAAAACAGCAATGATCAGCATTGCACCTGGAATAACCGTTCCTGTGTATGAATCCATCAAACTTTTTGTACCATTGCCTTGGAGCTTGTTTTAGGCCGTACAAGCTCTTCTTCAATCTGCATACCATCTTCTCTTTTCCCTTCTGAGTAAACCCCTCTGGCTGCTGCATATATATCTCTTCCTCTAGATCACCGTGGAGGAAAGCTGTCTTTACATCTAGCTGCTCGAGATGTAGATCTTCAGCTGCAACAATACTCAGGACTGTTCTGATGGTAGTCAGTTTGACTACTGGAGAGAAGATCTCTGTGTAATCAACTCCTTCTCTCTGCTGAAATCCTTTAACCACTAATCTGGCCTTGTATCTCTTGGAACCATCATGTTCCTCTTTGATTCTGTACACCCATTTATTGCTCAAGGCCTTTTTTCCCCGTTGGTAGCTTTGCAAGTTCCCATGTCTTGTTGGTGTTCAAGGATTTTATTTCATCTTTCATGGCGAGCTCCCACTTGCTCGCATCATCCACTCGAAGTGCCTCATCATAACTTTCTGGCTCTCCACCATCACTCAACAATAGGTAGTTGAGATGAGCTCTGGGCTGTAGTGATGGGTACTTCGGATTAGGCTTGGGGACTCTAGCTGACCGCCTCAACTCTCTGACAGGCGAAACAGGCTCTCCATCTTCATCTGCTCCCTCTGAAGTAGTCTCATCCATCAACTCTTCTTCTTTATCAGAACTAGCTTCGGGATTACCTCCATCTGAGGCATCATCTGACTCAAAATATGTGGGATCATGCTGTGCCGAACTAGTGGACTGAACGACATCATGGTCTTTGTACAGAACTGATTCGTTAAAGACCACATCCCTGCTTCTGATGATTTTCTTATTCTGCTCATCCCAGAACTTGTAGCCAAACTCATCACCGCCATAGCCAACAAAGAAACATTTCAGAGACTTAGGATCGAGTTTGCTTCTAACATGATCACTCAGATGTACATATGAAACACATCCAAATACTCTCAGGTGAGAAAGGTTTACCTGCTTTCCACACCATACTTCTTCAGGTATTTTGTGCTCCAAAGGCACTGATGGTCCCCAGTTGATCAAGTAGGCAGCTGTGTTGACTGCTTCTGCCCAGAATTGCTTTGAAAAACCTGCTTGTAACCTCATACTTCCGGCTCTTTCAGTCAATGTTCTGTTCATGCGTTCTGCTACGCCATTCTGCTGGGGTGTACCTAGCACTGTCCTCTCTAATCTAATGCCGCTGTCATAACAGAACTTCTTGAACTCTGAGTCTTCATACTCGCCGCCGTTGTCAGAACGAAGCTTCTTGATCTTCAAACCGGTCTCGTTCTCAACCATAGCCTTCCATCTCTTGAAGACTTCAAACACTTCTGATTTGTGTTTCATGAAATAGACCCAAGTCTTCCTCGAGTGATCATCTATAAAGGTCACAAAATATAACCTTCCGTCGGTGGATGGAACTGATGCTGGGCCCCACACATCTGTGTGAACTCAAGCTTCTCTTCTTTAGAGTTCTGCCAACCCTTTTGAAGCTTATTCTCTTTTGTTTCCCTAGAATGCAGCTTTCACATAGGTCAATATCAGCCGATCTCAAACCTGGTAACTTCCCATTCGATTGCATAACCTTTAGGCCTTTGCTACTCATGTGACCTAGCCTCTGGTGCCACAAATTTGGGTCTTCACTGCCTTCAGCCACTGCAATGGAACCTCGTGCATCTATCGTCATGTAGAGAGATCCCGTCTTCGTACCACGGGCAACAACCATGGATCCCTTTGTAACCTTCCATGTATCACATGCAAAGGTTGATACGTATCCCTCTTTCTCCAATTGTCCTATGGAAATCAGATTTTTCCTCAAGCTAGGAACATATCTCACATCACTCAGCTTCCATGTAGACTCATTGAGCTTGATTTGCACGACTCCTTTGCCAACAATATCACAAGGCTGATCATCACCAAGATAGACTTTTCCTAGGTTTCCTGAAACGTAGTTCTCAAATAAATCTCTATTTGAGGTAGCATGAAACGAAGCTCCTGAATCCAGCACCCACGATTCAGTTTTGCTCTCCAACAAACAGATTGGGGCATCATCTGATTCTCCTGAGGCCACGTTCGCTTCAGTCTTGTTCTCCTTGTCCTTCTTGGGTTCTCGGCACTGATTTTCATAGTGGCCAAACTTGCCACAATTCCAGCAGTCAATTTCCTTCTTGCCCTTGCGGTTCCTGGACTTTGGCCTTCCGTTCCTCGAGTTAGATCTTCCTCGGCTACTCCCTCTATTTCTGTTTCTGTTTCTTCCTCTGCCCTCAAGGTTCAACGCCGACCCTGAATTAGAAATCCCTTCCTCTTGTCTTCTTATTTCCTCAGTCATAATCATGTCCACCACCTCTGAAAACTTCAGTTTTGATTTGCCACATGATCCGCTGATCGAGATAACGGTACCCTTCCAACTGTCGGGCAATTGACCAAGTATCAAGAGAGCTTGGATTTCATCGTCAAACTGAATATTGACTGAGTTTAGTTGATCCGTGATCTCGTTAAACTCGCTCAGGTGTTCCTTGAATTTCTGGTTCTCGGACATCCTCAAATTAAACAGCTTTTTAATGAGATGTACCTTATTCGCCGCAGAGGGCTACTCATACATACTGGACAACGCCGCCATGAGATCCGCCGTCGTATTCTGATTCTTGATGTTGAACGCTACTGATTTAGACAAGGTCAACCTGATCGCTCCAAGGGCCTTTCGATCCAATAGCTTCCAATCCGCATCTTTCATATCCGTCGGCTTCTCTCCCAATGGTAGGTATAAATCCTTCTGATAGAGATAGTCTTCCATCTGCATCTTTCAGAACCCGAAGTTTGTTCCATCAAACTTCTCAATCTTGGATGTTTCCTTCTCAGATCCCATTGTCTCTGACCTCAAATCGCTCGCGCCGAACCTGGTCGCTCTGATACCACTTGTTGGGGATGCACAACCCCCCTGATGCGATTTGGAAATAGAGATTTAGGAGAGAAGAGAGAAAATCAAACAATCTCAAACACACAAGATTTACGTGGTTCGCTTCTCAATGTGAGAAACTACGTCCACGGCCGCCGCAGGAGAAAAATTCACTATTTTTCGTCTCTTTACATCATGCCCTAATCAACCCTTTTATAGACTTAAGGGTTTAACCAATAAAAAAGGAAACAGAACAAAACAGGTTAAAATTCGAAACTGGGCCAAAACCCGACTCAGGTCGACCGCCGCACCACGTGCGGTCGACCGCGACGAATCCTATTCCTGATCGAGCTCTCTGGACTTTGGGCGGTCGACCGCAGCGCCATGTGCGGTCGACCGCGAAGCTGATTGCAGACTGGGCTTGCTCTCTGGACTTTTGCCGGTCGACCGCAGCGCCATGCTCGGTCGACCGCGATGAGCTCCTGGCCTGTGCACCCAGCTGTGCACGACGTCAGTCGACCGCCGCGCCATGGCCGGTCGACCGCGATGCAGAAAACTGTCTCCTTCGTCGTTTTGCTTGAACTTCTCCATCGTCGATCATGTTCCTCCTGTTCCAACTTTGTTCCTCCTCTCTTCTGAAGTATAGGGCATGCTTGATAGTTAGGCTTCACATATCCTAACAGTTTTCCCCATTAACTTTTTCTAATTTACACTGGTTTTAGATCGCAGTTACGTTGATTTAATTTCGTGTACCAGTGATTATATATAGCAGCAGATGTACGCATCTATTAGTCACTTTTTTGGCATTTTCTATGGGATTCCTGCAATAATCATTTGTCATTCATTTCTTCTTTCTGTACAAGTACGAATACTTGCTAGCTTTAAGCCCCACTTACGCCCTTGTAACAAAGGATGGAGACAGGAGAGAAGCTCTCTGACCTTGGCTCAAAACAAGCAATAAATTTTAACTTGTCATCTCCATAAAAGTTTCTATTTCTCTTCATTACAGATGCTACACTTGTTACTCTAAATTTATCCCTGGAGTTAGTAGCCTCCTTTGTCGTTGGGTAGTAGGGTTAGCAAAAGTTGATCAGTCCCCATCACAACTTTCTGTTCTCTTTTATTTCTGCCACCCTTTTCTGTTGACTGACCGAGATAAGCAGCACATATAGTTAATTCAAAACAAAGAAAATAATGTTCATACATTTATAAGGAGCAACCCGACTATTGTTTATGCCATCTCTCATGTGATCATCATACAACTTGTTTCAAAGTGCAAAAATGTCGCTAATAAGTTTAACCTGGATATTCTGTGCGCAAATTTTCTTGCATTATTCTCTTGAGATTTCGGCTGAAGTTCCTGCACTCATCGTGTTTGGAGACTCCTCAGTTGATGCGGGCAACAACAACAACTTGTCAACCATTGCGAAGAGCAATTTCGAGCCCTATGGCCGAGATTTCCAGGGCGGTCGGCCGACCGGGAGGTTTTCTAACGGCCGGATTCCGACGGACTTCATCTCTGAGACTTTTGGGCTGAAGCCAGTGGTGCCCGCTTATCTTGATTCTGCTTACAGTATCAAGGATTTTGCTACTGGCGTTTGCTTCGCTTCTGCTGGCAGTGGTTATGACAATGCTACCTCGAATGTGCTCGTAAGTTGTCTTAAGGGTTAAGTTCAAAAAGTTATCATGAATTTTGGAATGTTTTCAAATAAACTATCATAAATTTTTTTATCCACTATACTATCATGAATTTTGGAATATTTTATATTTTATACTTTGCTCCTTCTCTATTTTCAACTGTAGTTAAGACCTTTTATTCAAACTGTTTAGGTTGTTGATTAATTAGCAACAATTGGTAGTATTTCATGGTATCTTGCTCCTGATTTAAAAGTTGTTGCTTTATAAAAAATTTGTGATAATTCATCATAGTTTTTTCTGATAAAATTTGTGGTACCTTTTTTTTGTTAAAAGCGGCAAAATTCATGCCAGTTTTGTGAAATTATCCTGTTGTTTTAGATTTGAAAGAAAAAATTAGTTATTTTCTGAAAAATAGAAGCTGAAAAAGTTGTGCGCGTTGGAAACACATAAATTTCATATTGAAATTGTTTCTAGATGAATATCACTACGGTGATGTATTTGAAAAAGTTTCTATAAAACACATTTAAAAGTTTAAACATCTCTCTTTACTTTTCTACTAAAATGGCGGGAAATCTCCCTGACAGTTTTGGTAAATTTAACTCAGAAAAAGTCCTGAAAGTTGAAACATGACATCTCGATATAACTTTAGAGGAGAAAAAAAAGTATTATAAAGAACCTTCACATTCAAACTTAAATTTTACAAAAACAAATAAAAAATGTTACATAAATTAACACTTGTAACTGCATTCGAATAATCATTAACTTTCTCCTGCAGTCAGTCATACCTTTGTGGAAACAACTTGAATACTTCAAAGAGTACCAAGCCAAACTAAGAGCCTATCTTGGAAAATCAAAGGCCAACACAGTACTACACGAAGCGCTCTACGTTATGAGCCTAGGCACCAACGACTTCCTTGAAAATTACTACACAATCCCAGGCCGATCATCACAATTCACCATTGAAGAGTATCAAAACTTCCTCGTTGGCATCTCTGAACATTTCATCAGAAGCCTTTACATTCTCGGCGCTAGAAAACTAGACCTAACAGGTGGGTACAAATTTTGTCAGAACACGCCCATATAAATTTACAGGATAGTCTGTGTTCTGATAAGATTTGTATTATTGACAGGTGTACCTCCGATGGGATGTTTACCGTTGGAACGAGCAACGAATATAATGGCTGGGAGCAGTTGCAGGGAAGAGTACAACAGGATTTCAAGAGATTTCAATGGAAAATTGCAGGTGTTGATTGAGAAGCTTAATAGAACATTGCCGCGGATGAGAATAGCGTATGGAAATGCATATGAAACTGTTCTTCAAGTTGTCCAAAGGCCACTTTCGTACGGTAAGTCTATACGTCATAGCTGATGATCATTCATCTAGCTTTTGCCCATATTCGATCTAAAAGATCATTTAACAGGCTAACAATTCTTTCATATTTGTATATTAAACAAATTGAATACGAACATAAGCTATTCAAGTCCTTGCTTATCAGATATTTGTATCTAAGTTCAATCTATTATATTCTATATATATTATATGTCCTATGATCAAACGCTTCAATTCTCTCATATACAATAATGTGACTGAATCTCAGCCAAGTGTGTTCACGGAGGGATTCTCTCTCCTTTTATTCACTTTGTTGAAATTCATCCACGTCATTTTATATGAGAGGATCTCTCATGACACGGATACCTATTATATAAAAATTGTCTAAAAATTTTTAATGTGTCTTTTGTACCCATCATGAGAGTCTTATAGTTCCAAATTGAATTTTTAGTCAAATATTGAAAATACAGATTTATACATTGTGGTCATAAAACAATAAACTTTTATCCAAACAGAAGCAGCTATTCAATCAAATGTTTCACATTTACAAACTATGGACAGTTATATCAAATAATAGTTTCCCACAAGTTTTTGGACATAACTTATTCAAATCGAATTCGAAGATATTATTAGAGAGATACAAATATGATATCCTCTATATGTGACTCGATTTTGTTCGTTTTTACTCCTAGATGAAACCACTATGTAGAAGCTTCGAGCTTAAGCAATCGAAATGTATATTTGTGCAGGATTTGAGAACGCAGGGGCGGGATGTTGTGCTACCGGAATGTTCGAGATGGGATATATGTGCAACCAGAGGAACCCCTTCACTTGCACTGATGCCACAAAGTATGTGTTTTGGGATGCATTTCATCCAACTGAGAAGATGAATAAGATCATAGCTGATCACATTGTGAATAACAACCTGATGGTATTTTAGCTGAGCGGTGGCGTGTATTGTCTAGATGGACTTGATACTTAACTACTACTATACCCTATATATATATTATATATCTAGTACTATATATATATATATATATGTGCACGCATGTGTGTGTGTGAGCCTCTTCGCGGGCACGGACCGTGTCGGTAGCTGTTGTCTGCTGTGATGTGTGCTGTGTGGTGTGTAAGGAGCCTGTGATGAAGTCTTTGCCGCGCCCACCACTCGTTAACGTTCGCCTGTCGTCTTAGTTATTAGCATGTAATAATACTGGATGTTTCCGTTTGATTCCGTAGTCATGCTTATATCGTAGAAAGTAGAGCTGCAGCAGGTTTCTTAGTTTCAGTTTTTGTCAGAAAACTTAATGGTTATGAGAACAAATGCTGCAATTTGCTTCAACAAATAAAAACTTGAAAAATTAATGTTATATAATCGAGTTAGTGAATAAAATCAATCATGGCTAAATCAAGATTTGACTTGCTATATATATACATTTTGTGCAATAATATTAAGATGCAAATTCAATGGTTTTAGGAACTAACGAAACATTAGTTTGGGATTTGAAAGTTTATTTTCTACAACAAAAATGCAGATATACGTTGAACGAATTTGAAACTAATTAATTACCCACAATAAATAATGCATTTGACAATGTCTACGTGCAACATTTGTTGTTGGAATTGTCAATATTATTTGAAAAAGAATATGCATTAAAGTTCAGGTTTCTGTATAATAGAGAAAAAACTTCAATTGAAAACTTGCGAAGTACAGCTAGAAGAACTACAAAATTGCAGTTAGAATACTGCAATAAATAACTGCAGAGAACTGCAGGGAAGTCCATCTTTGATTCTCCATAAAAAGGGGGAAACCAATGCATGTTAAGAACAGAGAGAGGAAAGGAAAGAAACTCTTTCAACTTCTATCTTCAAAAGAGTAAATCTCCTATAATCCTATCTTCTTATATCTTGTGTTGATGAAGTTACGGAATGATCTATTGGTCTACAAGACTACAACCAGTGATCATTATACAGTATTTTGGACCTGAATTATCTTAGGAGACAAGATTGTGATAACCCTCATGGATTGCGGGGCAAATCTATTACTATTATTAAAAGGATAAAATTTCAAAACAGACCCCTTCAGAAACTTATTTTTAAAGAACGACCCCTTTTAAAAATATTTATCATTTTCAACCACCTGGTTGAAATTGGGTCGAAAGTGGCAAAAAACATCAAAAACTTTACGGGATTTAAAAATCCGTAAAGTTTTTGATGTTTTTTCACCATTTTCGACTCAATTTCAGCCAGGTGGCTGAAACTGAGTCGAAAATGGCAAATATTTTCAAAAAGAGTCGTTTTTTGAAAATAATTTTCTAAAGTGGTCTATTTTAAAATTTTGTCCTTATTAAAAGAACCTGGCATTTTGGTTCTTATATTTGGTGTTCTACCCCTGTGTCACAGTTTCAAAAAAATATATATTATTATTTATGTTAATTCAGATATTCTCTTAAAGAAAAAGAGAAATCAAAACTCTTGATTCATGTGTTAAAAATATTACTTCTAAGTCTCTTGCTAACAAAACCAAAGCTGATGATGTGCTTGGCTTTCCTCAAAAACTAGGCTATGTTCTGGGTATGTTTGTCAACCCTCAAAAATTAGGCAAGGATTGAACCTGGTGCTTTTCTGTTTGGCAAAAAACTGGGCCAATATTGGCTCAGCTTTTGTAAGCTAAAAAAATCCATCTAATCTGGTTTAAGTTTGGATTAGCCCTTCCCTAGTAGGTGCTAAATCGTATCTGTACCCGAGAAAATATCTGTAACCGTATCCGTTAGGCTACGGATATGGTTACTCAAATCTATAACTGATAGGATATAGTTATGAATATGGTTTTGTAGTGAAATATCTCTATCCGTATCCAAGATATCCGAATACATATTAGTCATACCCTTACGATAGTTTTGATTCTTAAGTTATGGATTTGTGTTTAATTTTGATGATCAAGATGTCTAATCTTAGCATTTTAGTTATAATGAACATATTAACGACCTTTTTTGTATCACATGAACTATGTTTTTCTTAATACTATATAGTTTTCACATATCTGTTTTGTATCTGCATGCATATCCGCTCATATATCTGCATGTATATCTGTCCGATTTTAGCAGATATATATATATATGAATTTTTCTTACAGAGGTATATACGTATCAGTATCCGTATCCGTATCCGAGATGGGTAAGCGGATATGGATATAGTATGCATCATATCCGAGCCGTAACCGGACCGAATGCACCCTTATTCTCCGGTCCAAATTAAAACCATATAATTAGAATGAAACTGAGCTAAAACCGATCCTGACCCAGTTTTTGACAATTTGAGAAACACACCCTGACACATGTTGTGGACGCAACAAACAAACTCTTTTTTGCTGTGAAAGATGGAGACTACTCTCATTATGCACACCGTTAACGGTGGAACTGAGAACGTGAAAACATAATAGTCTTCACGAGCCAGCGACACCAAAAACATGGGAAGACACTGGTTATCATGATCATCTCCGTGAGTGTGAGGCGTGGACTAGTCTGGTAACTCACCTTGGGTCATTAATTAATTGATGTCAAAAACATTTACCACACAACTCCTCGTACAAACTGGAGTCATGGGATTCCCAGGGTTCTGCAGTACGCGCATGAGCGGAGATAGTCAGGGTCTAGGGCATGAATATATATATATATATTTATATAATGCAGTGTGTTGCCTAAAAAAAATCAGAGGCGGAACCTAAAAAAACAAAATATAACTATATATGAAACACGTGGCGTGACAAAAAAACTATGATAGATAACTATACCAATGCAGTGTGTTGCCTGAAATATTCGCTGATTTTACATATATAATGAAATGATAGAAAAAGATTAAATTTAAATGGAACTACTACCACCATTTTTAAAAAAAAAACTAGAGAATGAAATAACGTCGGATATTCTTAATAAACGTAGAACTCTGACCATCCCATATGATTCTCAAGGGTCCTTGAAAACTAATTGAAAAATACATCTGTTGCAGAAATAAGGGATATTTATACAAATAAAACAGAATACGTGTGATATATAATTAACTATACCCTATATATAGGCATGATATGCATGCCTAGTTGCTTTTCATGGCAGTACAATTCAAGCGCCATATTCGTTATAGTTAATAATTAGGCAAGAAGTTGTTGACATGCAGTTGACGCGCATTATGATTTGTTGAAAATTAAAGCATATATATAGTATGTGGCGTTTTTCTGATTTAAGTCTCACATAACTAATCAATATTTTTGCATGTATATTGTCTTACATAGCATACGTCTCAAATAATTTGTGCAACCTATACACTCACCTAACTCCAAGCCTCAAATATGGGCTCAAGATTAATAAATGTGGCAACAAACTGTTCTCGTAGACAAAAAAAAGAATGTAGCAAATTAAGAAAGGTTTGTGTCTCAGAGATTTATCTATCTAGAGTATCATAGGGGAAAGTTTCATGTCTTATCAAGTAGGGGAAGAGATTAAAAGTTAGAGAAGTGAAGTGAATGAAGTGGATAAGCTAGCGATTATATGATCGGCATGAGCGTTAAACTTGGGTAAGTAGAGCTGAATTATGGATAATACATGTTTTTGTTGTTAAAGATATCCAATTAGCTGTTTTCATATGTCTGCTTAATATGCTAGTGTAGGCGTCAAAAAATGCTAAGAGATATCCAAACATAGAGAAAATCACTCAAATCGACAGATATGAATTGTCTCGCCAGCGAGACAGTCTTTGCTGTCTCGCCAGCGAGACAGTGTTTGCTGTCTCGCCAGCGAGACAGTGTTGAAATGGTCAAAAAATCACCTTTGTAACTGCCCTACACGTGTCCATTAACTGCCAAGGGACGTGGGAAACATCGTGGGCGAAAATCACGTGAATAACTGCCAAAATAACGGAGTTTGAAACGTGGGAAAGCAGTTAAAACGAAAACTGCATGCGGTTACTGTTTCCGAGACAGTATTTGCTGTCTCGCGGGCCGAGACAGCAAACACTGTCTCGCCCAGCGAGACAGTAAACACTGTCTCGTCAGTCTAATTTCGTCGTTTGTTGAGTTTTTTCAGTTATGAACCCCAGAGACTATAAATACCCCCCTAGGGTCACTACTGAGGAGGATCGAGCATATTTTCGAGCAATCCAGAGCAGAGATAGCAGATTTGAGATTTCGTGCAACTTCTTGAAATTAAGCTTTGACTTGATTTTAAGAAGAACGACTATCTTACTTTGATAAGATATCGTTTCAAGTTCTCACTTCGATAAACGAAGTCAGAATCAGTAAACCCCCTTCACGATCTGTGATTTGGCGGTCCACGAACCAAAGCGTTCCCGGCACAGGCAAAGTCCCACAAAAACAAGAATCGATAGACGATTTTTGTGTTATTTTCTCAAGAGTTGTAAATTTTGCTTTGTTGTGTAGAAAAGGTCTTATAAAAAGATTATTTCTTTGAATTTGTTGTAATCAAAAGAAGATATAATGAATTCCTCAACAGAACCAACTTTTGCTGAAAACAAACTGGCGACCACTGGGAGCCAGCGGCCTCGCTGCCGAGGCCGCGGTGTCGCAACCGATCAAGATCGTTGTCAATGAAGAGATCGAATATGAATTCGATCAAGCAAAGTTTGAGGAATATTTATCATCCTCATCTGCGAAATCTTCCTCGTCTCGCAAATATAGGAAGATTTCACCTTTCAAGAAAACTTTCAAGTCTGCAATTCCAACGGAGACCGCAGGCGAAGATTCTTGCCTGACTGCTGCTAAGGAATCTCCTTACAACATCCTTGCTCAAAACGACTCTACACCCGTTACGGAGTCGTTGATCAATAGCTCACCGGTGCTGACGAAGAGAGCTCGTCAGAGACAGCGCCAGCGCCGTGCTCGTCAATTGGCTAAGGCCATACAACAAACCGACGGGGTTCATTACTATGTGGACCTA